GTGTGTGTGTGTGTGGTGTCGTGTGTCGTGTGTCGTGTGTCGTGTGTCGTGTGTCGTGTGTCGTGTGTCGTGTGTCGTGTGTCGTGTGTCGTGTGTCGTGTGTCGTGTGTCGTGTGTCGTGTGTCGTGTGTCGTGTGTCGTGTGTGTCGTGTGTCGTGGTGTCGTGTGTCGTGTGTGTGTGTCGTGTGTCGTGTGTGCGTGTGTGTGACACGAACCTGCTGTCGCTGTCGGACATGAGGAATCGGCATCGGAGTCGCTGGCCGAGCCATCGTCATCGCGATCGCGTATGCGCTCCTTGCCCTTCGACGGCCCGCGAGCACCGCCGCTGCCGCGCAGCAGCTTCATTTCCACGTCACCGTCGCCGCGGGCGCCGCCGTCGTCGGACTGCTCGTCACCGCTCGCGGCCTGCTCGTCATCGTGCTCCGCCACCGAGTGCAGCCGTCCCTCCTCCATCTCCGGCGGCAGCTGCGCCCAACAACAACAGTGAGTCACGTGTGCGTGTGCGTGTGCGTGTGCGGTTGTGTGTGTGTGTCACGCACGTAGCCGGGGAGAACGAAGCCGGGGTCTGTGCGGATGGCGCAGTAGTAGGAGTAGAGGCAGAGAATGACGAGCGCGTGGAACACGAGGAGGATGAAGATGTGGAACGGGTCATGGGCGGTGTACATCATGTAGGGAATGAACACGTAGTGCCACACGGACCAGTAGCCCACCGCGCAGAAGGCCCACACGAACGCCACGCAGAAGCGGCCGCCCCACCGCACGCACGCGTCCATGGCCGCCAGTCTGTGCTTGGCGCTCGCCCTCATGTGCATGTCGCCTGGTCTGTTTTTTCAAATCAACACAAAAATAAATAATTTTTAAAATCAAAAAAAGTGAATGGGGCGAGTAAAAACCTTGAATTGCCATTAACAAAAATAAGATTGAAGGTGGGGAGATGGATGTCGGTACCTGTTGCTCGATTAGCTCGATTAGCTCGCTGCTGGTGTGTATGGCCAGGAAAGTTCGAGGCCGCCGTAAGATGCCTGGAGCACGGAGAGGAAAACAGACACGAAACAGCTCGTCGAGTTTCGATTTTTATTTCCTTTTTTTTAACACGTTTAAATCATTTTTTTCCTTCATTAAAAAATTGTTTTAATTGGGTGATGGCCGGCCGAAAGTCGTTCTTACCACAAAAGGTTGTACAAGGACGCGAGGCTCAGGTTGGTGGCCTCCTCCACCACCTGCTGCGTGCCGTACTGGTCGCTGCTTTCGGCATCGTCGTAGAATCGACGCTCCCGCTTCTTCCACTGGCCGAGCGACACCGGGAAGGCGCCCTCGTCGGCGTCCCATGTTGTCACGCGCATCACCGTCCACAAGAAATCCACCACGGCCTGCGCCAGCTTCTTGTTGTCGTCGTTGTCGCCGTCTCGGCGCAGCCCGGCATCGGCGATGGCGTCATCAGAGGCCGGCGGGGCAGGTAGGCCGAGAAGGCGGCCGACGGCGGCCAGCGCGGCGGTGGCCACCACCTTCTTGCGAAGCTCGACGTTGGGGTTGCCCATGGTTCGATTCAGGTAGATGAGTAGGGCTGCATGCCCATCGGCTGCCGCCGGGTGGTGGGTCTCGTCGCCCACGTCGTACCCGTTCTCTTCCTCGCTCGAGGTCACGGTGGCCGACTCGGCGAGCGCGGCGAGTCGCTGGTGGAGCTGATGGCCTGCTTGGTGGCCACCTACGACGCGCACCGTGATCATGGTCTGCTCGGAGGGCGCGTCGTAGGTGTCGACGGCCTTGGTGGAGACTGAGACCACCACCTGCTGCTGTCCGTTCTCTCCTTGGATTGACATCGGGTCGTCTGCCTGGAGGCCGCCGCCGCCGCTGGAGATCGGACACACCAGGTCGAGCCTGGCCGCG